TTACTGTATGAATTGCTGCTTCTAGTTTTGATTTTCCTCCCAACCTACCTGCTTTACTTTATTTTTCAGAGTCCTCAGTTAGTTGCTTTTTATACTTTGCCTAGAATTTGTAGTTGTGATCAATGGGAAACAGGCCACAGTGAGAGTAGTTGATCTTGGACAGCACCAGAATTCTCAATTCTCTCTCTTCCTTCCTCTCTGTCTCTCTCTGTCTCTGTCTCTCTCTCTCTCTCTTTCTCTCTTTTTATGAGATCTTTTTCTTTCCACTTTAATTCAGAAAGGACACTTTTGGTAGGTACACAGTTTTCAGTACTTATGTGTTTTTTCCTTTCAGCACTTTTGAGGTTTATTATTCCATTACTTCTGGGTTCCATGTGTCTAATGAGAAGTCACCTACCAGTCTTATTGTTTCTCCTTTGAACAAGATAAAATGTTGTGGATTTTTATTTTATTTTTTTGCGTGGCAATTTTAAAGATATTCTTTTTGTGTTTTTGTTTTTAGTGGTTTTACTGTGCTACACCAGCATACATTGTTCTTCATTATTTCATTATTTCTTCTTTTGAGTTCACAGAGTTTTCTGAATCTCTGAGTTGATGTCTTAGTCACAATTGGAAAATCCTCAGCCATTATATTTCTATAAGAGTTTCTTTTTAGCTGGCCAGTGTTGTGTACACCTGTAACTCCAGCTACTCTGGAGACTGAGGCAAGAGGTTTGTGACTTCAGTGCCAGCTTGGTAAACTTAGTGAGATTCTTTCTCAAAATAAAAAGGGGGACCAGGGATTTAGCTCAGTGGTTTCGCCACCTGCTGCACAAACGCAAGGACCCGAGTTCGATCCTCGGTACCAAAAAAAAAGGGGTGGGGTGGGGATGTAGCTCAGTGGTGGAGTGCTTGCCAAGTATGTATGATGCCCTGGGTTCAGTCCTTAGTACTGAAAAAAAATAAAGCAGATGATCAAGTATATAGTTTGATTCATTTTAACATATGAAAAATATTACCAGGGTAATCATAACCAAGGTCATTCAGATAATTTCTTATAGACTCATGTCCTTTCCTGGTCAGTAAATATCCCACCAGTCTGTACATAAAGATAGCCACAATTATGACTTTAAACCCTGTGTTATTACTGCTTGTTCTTGAACTTCATGTAAATGTAATTATATAGTAGGTAGCTTTTTGTATCAAGTCTGTTTGATCAGCACATATTTAAAAGACATCTATTTTCTCTGTATTAAGTTACTTTTAATGCTTTGAATATTCCTCTGCATGGATGTATCATTATTTATCCAAACTATAATTGAAGGACATTTAAGTGGTTTCTTGTTTTTTGCGGTGGTAAGTTTTCATGTTAAAAAAGTCTTTTGGTGGACATGTAGACTCATTTCTCTTTGCGTACATGTAGAAATTATGAGTGAAATTATGAGCTTGTTGCATAGGCTTATTTCCATATCTACTAGATATTTCCATTGACGATTATGTTTTCAAATATTTATACATGTTAGTCCTTTTCATTGAATCTACATGCTTTTTAACTTCTCTTTTTTATTTTCCATCATTTTGTTTTTGTTTTCTTCAAATCACTATTTTGTTCTTCAAAGGGATCTTATCTATAAACTTATCCTTTGAGGTTTTGAGGTCATTGAGTTTTTCAGTTTTTTAGTTACATGTGTTTATTCATTATTTCTGGCTCACTGACAATTTCAAATTTTGCCTTTTAAATTTTTGAATAGGTCAAATATGTAAGTACTCACATATTTGGATTCATTGTATCCATTTTCTGTTGTGTTTTTAAAAATCATATCTCTTTGTGTATTTGTATTTCAGTATTGCACATTGTATGTAAAAAATTATTGAAATGATATAAAGCCTATGATGATGCGTCTAACCACTAGAGGCAGGTAACTTAGTACTCACAGTCCTGGATCACTTTAATTCATATACAGTTATGAAGGCTGGATTATTTAAAATTGTTACCTTACCCTAGGGCAGTGGTGGCAAACCTATGGCATGCATGGCATAGCAGAATGTTTGTATCATTGAAAGCTCTGGAGGGTTCGTCATCGCTGTTGGCCCTATGGGGGACTCAGTTCAAAGTGCAGGATGTTTACTCTTTGCTTGGTGGATTCTGGACTTTTCACTTTTGCCACTCTGTCCTTGGCTGTCAAGTGCCCTGCTAAGCTTCTCAGTGTCATGTGTTTCCTTTGGAATCTGCACATCCTTCTAGAGAACTGATTTAGATGCTACATTCCACTGTTTATGTGTTCTCAGCCTCTTCCTTGGCTCTGTGATTCCTTTTTGCTTTGTTTTCTACTGCCTTCCAGAAAAATATAGTTTTTATATTTTTAAATTAAAAAATTGTGTTTACTTAGAAACATTCAGAATGTCAACACAACAGCTGCAGCTTTTTTTTTTTGCAATTACAGAATGGTATTCAGTTAACAGAACAACAATTATTTCGTATAAGCTGCTTCAGAGACAACTAAAGATGAAAAACTACCTTCCACATATATAACCAATTTGTGCTGTATACCAACAAGAACCTTCCTTTAATTTCAGTGCTAATTTACAACCCCCGTATGTACCAGACAAGGTTAGTAGCTATTGAAATAACACCAGGACAGGACTATCTAAAGGTAGTGTGTTAACTGTACAAAAGAAGATACTGTACAGTTTAAAAACAAATCTTTTTTTTCTTTTGGTACTGGGGATCAAATTTAGGACTGTGCACTTTCGAGGCAGGTGGCGGAACCACTGAGCTAAATCCCTGGCCCTAAAAACAAATCTTACACAGCCTTACATTTAAGTTTTTTTCTTTAAAAGGAGTGAGTTGTGTATAGGGGGGTTAAATATTGTCTATATATAAAAAAAACCCTGCTAGAACCAACTTACTCATCATCATCTTCATCTTCTTCTTTCTCCTCATCCTCTTCATTTTCCTCCTTGTGTTAGTTACTCTTCTCTTATTGCCAAGACAAAATACCCAATGCCCAAAGTTAGAGGGGAAGGGGTTTATTTGGCTTGCAGTTCGCAGACGTTTCGGTCCATAATTGGCCGACTCCAAGGCAGGGATGACAAACAGGCATGGCAGAGCAGAAACAGCATGGTGTGTGCAAGGTAGCACAGGTTAACAAGATTGATTCTTAACATCATTTCCCTGCCCCTTTTATCCCATCCAGACTACCGGGATTAGGGCTGTACCAAACTAATCACTCACACATAGTGCTTTAGCAATCACACGCCCTTAACCCCAGCATCACACATTCCAGATTCAGCTACCTCTGAAAAACAAAGTCCCACTTCATCTGCATGGGGCTTTGAGGGGACATCTAAACACAAACCAATAACACTCTTCTTCCTTTTTCTTGCTTTTTTCAGCCTTGACAAATCCCTTTTTTGCTACATCATGTTTTCCTTTGTCTTAGTAGGCAGTGATGTCCTTTTCATACTTTTTCTTCAGCTTGGGAGCCTTCTTGTAAGGCTGCTTCTCATCTGCAGCAGTTTTATTCCACATTTCCCCCAGTTTCTTTGGCGAGGCCAGGATGTGCTCCTTTGATTTTTGGGTGATACTCTGAAAAGAACAAGAAGGCTGAAGAAGGCCTCTTGGGTGCATTGTTTTTCGTTTTGCCTTTATGAGGGATATAGGTTTTCATTTCTCTTTCATAACGGACCTTGTCTGCCTTTGCCATGTCTTCAAATTTTCCTTTCTCTTTAGCAGACATGGTCTTCCACCTCTGAGTACTTCTTAGAAAACTCTCAGAAGTTAATGGAAACATCTGAGTGCTTCATCTTGTGCTCCTCTCGGCAAGTTTGCACAAAGAATGCATATGATGACATTTTGTCTCTTGGCTTCCTAGGATCCCCTTTGCCCAGGTTTACTTGTTTTCCTCAGGAAGGCACAAAATTGCCCAGTGCCTGTCCGGCTCTTGCTTGCCATGGTGCTGTTTCTGTGGAGTTTAATGTACTGCAGTGGCTCATATTTTATATTTTTACAGTTTTTCTAATTCTCAGTAGTTTGGTTCATATTACCTAATCTGGCACTATTAGAAGCAGAATTTGTAATTATTAAAATGTCTAGACAAAATTATTCCCATGTGTTTTAAGTTTTTAATGTATGAATCATCAATTTTCAAATATTTATCTCCCCTTTGAACATTAAAACTAATCCAGAGGAGTTTAGAGTTCAATGATATTAATCATGTATGTATAGCCCTTCAGCACGCCAGCTAGAGCCAGGCATGGTGGTGCATACCTATAGTCCCAGCTACTTAGGAGGCTGAGGCAGGAAGATTGAAAATTCAAAGAGCCAGGCATGGTGGCACAAGCCTGTAATCCCAGCACTTGGGAGGTTGAGGCAGGAGGATCGCTGGGAGTTCGATGCCAACCTGGGCTACCTAATGAGTTCAGGGCCAGCCTGAACTACAAAAGGAGACCCTGCCTTAAAAAACCAAAAAGAAAGAAAGAAAGTTTGAGGCAAGCCTGGGTAACTGAAGTGAGACCCTGTCTCCAAAAAAAAAGAAATAAAAGGGAGGAGAGTCCTGGAGATTTAGTGGTTAGAGTGCTTGCCTCTCATTCACAAAGCCCTTGGTTTAATCCTCCAAGCCCCCTCTCTCAATAGCAGCTTGTCAGAACAGGTTCATTTATCCTTTAAGTTTTTATTTTTGTGGGTAAGATTCTAGTTTGTTACTGTGTATGTGGGGTTTTTTTGTTTTGTTTTGTTTTTTTGCCTTTTAAAAAGCATTATAACTAGACCATGTGGGTTAACATCTGCATAGAGATTCATATTATGCTGTTTGTTCCTTTTGTGGCAGCATGTGGCTCTGGGCCTTTGTGATGCCTTGGGTTATCTGAAAGGACACTTGGCACACAGCATATGCACATATACCTGTTGAATGAGAGGTAAAAATAGCAATTCTGTAATTGGAATAATGAGGAGATGGCAGAGTCAGTTTTGGGATAACCAGTTTTCTAACTATATTTTCCATATATGCATTTTTGTTAAGATCTCTGCACTTGTCGTAAGAGCCCAGGCTTCCGAGATCTTACTTGAAGAGTTACAACAGAGTTTTTCCCAAGCAAAGAGGGATGTTCAGGAACAGATGGTAAGTCAATATTTTAAATATATACTGTTTATGTTATATTTATTCTTTTTTGTTCTGCATTGACGTCGTCTTTGATGTGATTTTATCATCCTGCTCAAAGCAGTTACTGTCACATTCTCCAGAGCCCATGGAATGTTGGTAGTGGTTCAAAATACTATAAAGACCTTTCTTTTTTTTTTTTTTTTTTTTTGAGACAGGGTCTCACTTTGTAGTTCAGACTGTCCCTGAACTCAACTATGTAGCTCAGGCTGACCTCGAACTCACAGCAGTCCTCATGCCTCTGCCTCCTGAGTGCTGGGATTACAGGTGTGAGCCACTGAAGACCTCTTTTTGAAACTGACCTCAAAACGGGGAGGGCCAGGGATTTGGCTCAGTGGCACCGCATCTGCCTCACAAACACAAGATCCTAAACTCAATCCCTGGCACCAAAAAGAAAAAAGAAAAGAAAAAAAGGGGTTGGGGGAGGAAAGGAAAAAGCCTGACCTCTTTGATACCTCGTCCACCAAGAAAAGTCTTATCTTTAACTCAGATTTATTTTTTTTGTGGTAGGAAACCTAACTAGAATAAACTCTGGACCAACATTTAATTTTCAGTTCCAAACTCAAGCTAAAAAGCTTAAAAATCTCTCAAGAGTACGAGCTAGTATCTTGAACACTCACTGTGGGTTTTAAAAATTTTTTATTTTTTTCTGGACAACTAATCTTCTTAGAGTAACCTTGTTATTTCACAAGAGTTATGAACAAAGATGTATGATGTTGTGGATTTGGGGAACTTAAAGAAGGCCACCAATTTTGAGAGGGATTGAGACAGCTTTGTGAACAAGAGCTGGCTAGAGCTTTTGGAGAGTACCTAGTTGGGCTGGGGATTTAGCTCAGTGGTTCTGGTGCCTGCCTTGCAAGCACAAGGACCTAAGTTCGATTGCCGGTACCAAAAAAAAAAGGAGTACCTATTCCCAGTGTCAGGCCTCCCTTCTCATCACTCTTGCTGCATTTGTCTTATTCTTCTTTTTCCCTCAAAGTTGGAGCCCTGCATCTAATGAGCCTGGATAAATTATGCAAGAGTTTGTTTTACAGGGATGACCATACAAAACTGCCTCCTGTACAGCTCTTTCAGGGATTACAATTTACAAAAACAAAAGTAGCCATGAGTTGAATGGTAATGGTTTGTTTTTTATTGTTAATGAGCCAGTGTCTGAATGGTTTATGAGCTGATCTCTGAATCCTAGACCTAGTCTTTTGGGAAGCTTCTCAACCTAATCATTGATGAGAGTGTTCAAATTGTTTCTCTAATTAGAAAATACAAAATAAGAATAGTTAAATGCTGGTGAAGTTTCATGGTGGTGTCCCCTCTTTTTTCTTCTGGTTGTCTTTTAAAGCCCACATGCAGACAACTTTCTCAGGGTAATTTTATTCACAATGAATGTGTTATCAGTGGCATAGGTGAATTGTTGAGATTAAGGTTAAGATCCTGTGAACTCAAATACTTTTTATCATTTTCTCAAAATTACCATGAAGGTTTCATATGCTGAGAAAGAGAAAAATCTCTTAGGCTTCTGCAGAGTGCAGAGTAGAAGTTGGGAATCTTAGTATTTTCCCTATTTTATTTTGAAAAATTTCACATTTGCAGGGAAGTTTATGAAATCAGCTCTTGAAAGATCTTCACTTTGATTGACCAGTTGTTGGGATTTTGCTACATTAGTGCACTTCCATTTGTTAAATCTCTTGCTCTTTGTATGTAGGTGTATTATCTGTACATTTGTATGTTTTAGTTTATGTATCTGCTGAACTATTTGGAATTAAGTTGTAGATATCATATTACTCCTAAATATCTCAGTATGTATCTCCTAGGAAGAAAAGACTTGTTCTCCATGACCACATCCTCTTGCTATGTCCTTATTATTTAACCAATTATCCAAAAAATGTATTGATTGTTTCTTAGTGATGGTTGTATAGGCTTTTAAAAATTTTTGATCCAGGAACCAATCAAGGATCACATATTGCATTTTGTCATTATGCTACATTAGTTTCCTTTAATCTAGTACAACTCTTGCCCCCCATGACATTAACATTTTTGTAGTCCAGGCCCGTTGCCTTGTAGAATGTTTTAGATTAATTGTCTTACAGATGTATTTGTCTGATTTTTTCCTCATGATTTGATCCAGGTCAGACATTTGGCAAGAATACTATGTTGATGAAGTGATTCAATGAGAAGTTCATAACATCATGAGACACATAATGATGGGTGATTCCATTATTCTTGACGTTAAGTGTGATTACTTGGTAGAGACAAGATAGTTTTGGAATGGCTATGTGATTATTTCTATTAACAGCAAACTTACTAGAGTAAAATATGTAATGGAAGATGAGGACACTACTCTTTGTTTCTCCCTACGTCCCATTGAATGCATGCTATGAGGACATGGGAGTTGTCTTGAATTACATGCTCTGTTTTGATACAAGTCTTGATTGTGCTGGGCACTTCCACTGAATTAGAGATCCTGGTGCTTCTGTAGTTCAGAGTGGAGGGATTCATTATTTTTAGCTGATGATAGAAGCAGTGGAGAATGAACATAGATGCTTGTCTCATGGCCTATCTCCTATTGGATATGTGTAAAGGTTGCAAATCAAAACATTTCTGAGCTGCTTTTATAAGTTTTGCAGAGCTTTATTATTTACCCTTCCATTCTCAAACCTTATTTGGTTTGGCCTTTTCTCTGGTATAGCTATTACAAGACCAGATTTACTTCTCTGGCTGTGATTAGTATCTATTTCTATTTCAGGCGGTGCTGATGCAGTCACGGGAACAGGTTTCAGAAGAGCTGGTGCGATTACAGAAAGACAATGATAGCCTCCAGGGAAAACATAATTTGCACATATCGTTACAGCAAGCAGAAGACTTCATCCTCCCAGATACTATAGAGGTAATGTGTTTTCCACACAATCAAAAATGTTGTAAGTTATTTTTTAAAACTTTATTGAGATACAATTTATAATACTAAACACTGTAACCTTTTTTTTTTTTTTAAAGAAGAATATTCATAAGTGCTGGGGATTTAGCTCAGTGGCACTATGCCTGCCCAGCAACCACAAAGTCCCGAGTTCAATTCTGGGTATGGAAGGACGGGATATGCACAGATAAATGCATCCACTACCACAGTAAATTTTGGGACATTTTCATAACCTCAAAGAGAAACCCTTTACCCTTTAGCTCTCACTCTTATTCCCCCTCACCTCCAATGGTAACCAACTACTAATCTACTTTCTATCTCTATAGTTCCTGTTCTGGACTTTTATGTGAATGAAATATAATTTGTGGTCTTTTATGACTGGATTCTTTGATTTAGCATGTTTTTGGGATATGTTTATGTTGTAGCAAGTATTAGCACTTCGTGCCTTCTTATAGATGGAAAATACTCCATTATATAGATATTTTATTTATTCATCCATTAATGGATATTTTTTTCCACTTTAGGGCTATAATGAGTTATATACCTAGTAGTGGAATTCTTGGGTCATGTGAGAACTGTTTAAATTGTTATGGAACGGCTAAACTGTTTCTAAAACAGTAGCATGTTTTGTCTTCCCACCAGCAACGTGTGAGGGCTTGAATTTATCCATATTCTTGCGAATACTTGTTGGTATTTTACTTTTGATTATAGCCATACTAGTAGGTTTGAAGTGGTATCTCTTTGTGGTTTTGATTTGCATTTTCTTAAGTGACCAGTGGTATTGTGCATTTTTTTAAAGTGCTAATTGGCTGTATATTTTTCCTGGAGAAATGTTTATTCAGATCTCTTGCTTATTTTTAAATTGGGTTATCTTTTTATATTTATTTTAAAATTTTTTTTTGTTTTTTGCAGTACTGGGGATAAAACTCAGGACTTTGTGCTTGCCAGGCAGGCACGGTGCCACTGAACTACATCTCAAGCCCTGGTTATCTTTTTATTATTGAGCTAAAATGGTTGTATTTATATTTGCTAAATAGAAATCCTATATCAGATATGATTGGAGATATTTTTTTCCCGTTCTGTGGATTGTCTTTTTCATTTCATTTCCTTGATGGTATCCTTTGAAGAATAAGTTTTGAATTTTGTGAAGCCCACTTAACTTATTTTTTCTTCTGTTGCTTATGCTTTTGGTGTCATGAATAAGAATTTTTACCAAGTTCAAGTTCTGTGTGTTACTCTGCAGGATCAAATGAAGAGTATGCCAGAAATTAAGTATTTGTTAGGAACACCCAAGTTGGCTCCTTGTGGTACTGTATTTGTTTTTGTGCCTACCACTTAAGAATTATATCAAGAGTTACATCGGGGCTGGGGATTTAGCTCAGTGGTTCTGCCGCCTGTCTCACAAGCGCAAGGACCAGAGTTCGATTCCGGGTACCAAAAAAAAAAAAAGTTACATCACACCTATCATCTTTCTGCCCATAAAGATGATGCTTTTTATATTCTTTTGTGGAGCTGGGGATTTAGCTCAGTGGTTCTGGCACCTGCCTTGCCAAGCGCAAGTTCACAAGAGTTTGATCCCTGGCACCAAAAAAACCACAATATTCTTTTGTGATTGGGTGAATCTAGGCTTTAAAACCAATTTCCTTGAGAAATTCATAACATCTCCTTTATCCAAACATTATACCCATGTATTTCTGAATCTTTCAGCATAGAAAAATATTGTAGAAGGTATGATGTCACATGCCTGTAATTTCAGCACTTGGGAGGCTGAGGCAGGAAGATTGTGAGTTCAAAGCCAGCCTGCTCTATATAGTGAGACCCTGCCTTCCCTTCTCCTGGCTAAATCCAAATAAACTCTGTCAACCATATAGGCAAAAATGAGTTTTTCCTCCTCCTCTTTTTTTTGGAGGAAGAGTAATGATGATTGAACTCGGCCTCCTGCATGCTGTGCAAGTGCTCCACCACTGGGCTACATCTCTAGCCCTTTTAAAAATTAAATTCATTTTGAGACAAGAGTCTTGGTAAACTAGTTAGGCTAACCTAGAACTTGGAATCCTCCTGCCTTGGCCTCCCAAGTATCTTTGATTATAGCTAAAGATGGGATTTCTTAGAGCAATTTTTTTTTGGTACCGGGGATCGAACTTGGGTCCTTGCACTTGCGCAGCAGGCGACGAAACCACTGAGCCAAATCCCTGGCCCCACTTAGAGCAATTTTTGAAACCAAATAGAAAAAGTATTATTTGTAAGGTCTTTTGTTCTTTTTTTCAAAAAAGTTAAAAAAATCAAACTTTACATAAATTTATAGTTTTGTAAATGTTTCCTCTAATCCTGTCCTGCACATTCAACCTCTATAATTTGACTCATTCTTTCTTGTGTACATATTAACATTACTATTATTTTTTATTTAATCAAAAGGAAAGAATTGGGAATCTGTATACTTTTGCTGTCAGTTTACAGTCACTGTACTACCACCTTCTGCCTCTATTAGTTTTTTTTTGCAAAAAAGATTCTTCTGTTCTATGTTCTCTAGAGACTTTTTATTCTTAGATTTAAAAAGTTATCTAATGGGCCGGGGATTTAGCTCAGCAGTTTCGCTGCCTGCTGCGCAAGCGCAAGGACACAAGTTCGATCCCCGGTACCAAAAAAAAAAAAAAAAAAGAAAAAGCTATCTAATATTACTGCCATTTACTTTTACTTACCTCTGGCCTAACATAGTACTTTGCCTGTGAAAAATGTTCAGTAACATTTAATGAATAAGTAACTATATACATTTTACTTTCTTAAAAGTTCATATATGCTCCTAAGTTTGTCTTTATCTTCAGTTAAGCTGTTATTCATAGTGAATCTTTGTCATAAGTCATTTAACCCTTTTTTATGAAACAGTTCTGAGGGAAAATATGTAGTTCACAGTACATATTTTTTGCTTGGAATTGTCTTGTTTCTGAAGCATAGTTGAATGTTAATATGACTTGACATGTACCTTTGAAACCCATGTGGGTTAAAATTTAAAGTCTTAATTAAAAAAAAAAGTCTATAATTGTTTCGTTGTTTTTTCAGTCTTAATTTTGAACTATTTAAAACAACATGAAATTTTAGTTGTAGAAAATCTTTACTTTCTTTTCTTTCTTTCCACATCCACAAATCCAATGACCATTTTTTTCTTGAATGCAGGTGCTCCGGGAGTTGATATTAAAATACCGTGAGAACATCATTCATGTGAGGACAGCAGCAGACCACATGGAAGAGAAGCTAAAGGCTGAAATACTTTTCCTAAAAGAACAGATTCAAGCAGAACAGTGTTTAAAAGAAAATCTTGAAGAAACTCTGCAGCTAGAAATAGAAAACTGCAAGGAGGAAATAGGTGAAGATAAGCGATGTAGTTTAGAATTGGAGTCACTAAATAAAACTGTTCTGATTGTGAGAAGTAATAGTACATGGTCATGGGATGTGGAGAACAAAAATGTGTAAGAAAGAATTAAGTAAAGACTCAGCTTATTTTCCTGATGTTCTAACATGTCCAGTAATTGGGATTTTAGAAAACCAAAAAAACAAGCAACCTCATTGTCCTCTTATGGAGCTGTTAGGCTTCTCTTTAGCAGTTACTAACAGATAGGAAACTCAATAACTCAGACCAGACCACGAATATCTTTGCAGGACTTTGCTCTGTTGACAGGAGAATCTTTTCCCCTGACAGAATTAGAAGTAGAGGTAGTTATCACAGTGTCTGTTTGTGTGGACACTGCCTTTCCCTGAGCATGATTATGATGCTGGTTGGAGTTAATTTTGAGAAAGGGCTTTTCCCTTCCATGTTCAGTATATATATATATGAATCCTTTGGGTTATTTAAGAAAAAAATATTTAATGTGAAGTAATAAATGATCACTAATACTTCTCCTTTTTTCCTAGCTTCCATTTCTAGTCTGAAAGCTGAATTAGAAAGAATAAAAGTAGAAAAAGGACAGGTAAGTCACAAGTTTAAAATTCATTCTTTCAGTAATTAATGGTTACTTATTGAATCCTGCTGTGCTAGAGCCAAAGAATGAAAGATAACTGAGGCACAGTCCTTCCTTTAAGAAACTTCTGTGTAGGTGGAATACAGTGAGATGATGGATAACATTTATTAGAGCCTGCTATGTATCAGGCCATATGACTGGAAGAGGTTAGGGGAAAACCAAGATGCAACTGTAGACTGGAGTTTCCAATGTAGTGGGAAATAGGTAATGGTAGAGTAGAAATACATACAGAAACTTTTACAAACGGGCATGGTTTGTTTTTTTTTGATACTGGGGATCGAACTTGGGTCCTTGCGCTTGCGCAGCAGGCGGGGAAACCACTGAGCTAAATCCCTGGCCCGGGGGGCATGGTTTTTTAAGGTGGATCAGTGTCCTCTTCTAGACAACATCTGTAGACAACTTTATTTAGCTTCCTGGCCTCATCATTCCTTGACTTAAAACCTTTACTTCCACTTTGCCTTTCTCCCCAAACTCCTGGCTGCACTTCCCCCCGTTTGATATCTTACTCCAGCTTCATATTCCTTGATCAGTCTCCATCCTTCTACCTCTTATTCCTGCAGGCCCATCTAAGTATCTCCTTCAGACCTTAAGTTCCCTGAAATTCTCCCTTTCTCCTGGTTTTTTAGCCACTTTGGCATTGAGCTCTTTCTTTCTGAGCTGCATCTGATGTAGCTTTCTACTTCAACTAGTCTCCTCCTGACTTTGCATTCTTCTGCCATCTCCCTTGACTACTCCCCAACCTTGGATTAGGTCTGGTGTCTGCAACTGCTGATGCCACCAGAATTGAATGCTTGTGTTGCCAAGTAGGTGTCTAGTGCTTCCCCATCAACCTTTCATTTGTCCGGAAATGTGCCTCTTCCACCTGTCATCATGGTGGCTGTTTGATTTAGTCACCATCACCTCAACCTCCTCACTTTCAGCAGCCTCCTCAGTTACATGTGCTCCTACTTTTATTTCTAGCCTTCTCTATTGTTTGTTTTTTTTTGGTACTGGGGATCGAACTTGGGACCTTGTGATTGCGATACAGGGGCAACACTGAGCTAAATCCCTGGGCTTCTTTATTGCTTCTTGAGAAAAAATAATGATGTTTCTTATCCCTTCCATATTTTCCAGCCACTCTCTCTGAGTTGCAGGTTTTGAACTTCTACCTCTTCATTGATCTTTCCTATTATGCACAAACATGTTTGGGTGTCTCCCATTAAGAGGAAAATGTTTCTCTTTGGATTGCAAGCCAAGTTTTATTCCCTGTACTGCCAAGAGTTATGTTTTTGCACTGCTAGGGATTGAACCCAGGGTCACCCAGGCATTTCTCACCCACTGAAATCTGCCTGTGCCTCCACTCTGCTACAGAGATTGCACTGCAGAGATGACCCACTGCTTAGGGATGGGATGTGACTTAGTGGTACAGTGCTTGCCTAGTATGTGAACACCCTAGATTCCATCCTCAGCACCACAAAAAAGAAAAAGTGAGCAGTGCTCAGATATGCAGAGATGTCTTAACCTTCCACTCTGTTGCCGTTTGGCTTTAGACTTCGTGTCTCACTCAGCCTACTGTAACAGCCTAACCTGTTTTCTGTCTCCAAAATTTAGCCTCTTTCACTTCATCTCCATATTGGAACCAAAGTGATCTTTAAAAATTATAAACTTGTCTGATTGAAAACTTGCCATTGATATCCTTTTTCAACAGGAGCAAGCCAGGATTTCTTAACCAGCTAGAGAGATCCTTTTTGCCTCACACTTTTTTCTAGCCTCAGCCTCTTGAGACCTACAGTCAAGAACTCTTATCATTTTCCTGAATGTATTCTTATGCATGCTATCTACTTGCTCGTTTGTTTCTACCTTTCCCCCCTCACTGTCCTTTTTCCTATAAAAATTTTCATCTTTCAAGAGTCAAATATCATCTCTCCTAGGAAACATTTCCCAACTTTTCTGGCAGAATTAAATGCTACTTCCTTCCTGTTCCTATACTCTAATTACTTACATGTCTTTCTCTCCTTACTTCTCCATCTCCAGTGATTAATTAATGAAAGAATAGGTCTGGAAAAACAGAATCCACAGATGTTAATAGGGGACGGGGAACTTTCCAACTATAGCCAAATGCAAGGCCTCAGAGGACTTGGGAGGAAGACTTTAAAGTCAGCATAATTCTCTAGACTGCAGGATTCTCTGAGCACCATGCTATATAGCCCACAAGGGGTTTCCATGCGTTTCTTTTTTAATTTCACAGTTGGAGTCCACATTAAGAGAGAAGTCTCAGCAGCTTGAGAGTCTTCAGGAAATAAAGATCACTTTGGAAGAACAGTTAAAGAAAGAGACTGCTGCTAAGGTGATATTTTTGTTGGTTAATTTTAAAAAGTGAGGCTAAGATTGTATCACATCTTACATGCTTAAAAAACAAAACCAACATTTCTGTTTTGAAGTGTTACCTTCTGAAAATTGGCAAGAGTAACAACCTGCAAAAAGAAAACCATTTCATTAAGAGTTGGGTTAAATCTTCACTCTGCAAGCTCTACAGGGCTGGGTCATAGGCCTTTACTGACTTTAGGTTGTAGGCTGTTAGGGCCACTGAATCAAGCTTTGCATGAGTCCAGTTAGAAACACTGCTTTGAAAATGTCATTCCATTGGACTGATACATGAAATCATAAGATTGCCCAGAACTAGATTTATTGCCCAAATTTTGATTAGTGCAGTTAGAATAAAAGTGGATGTAGCTATTATGGCAAAATGTTGCCTAGAAATGGTCTTAGTAAGCTGTGTGGTCACAGTGAAAACACTGTGTTGGTGTTGTTCAACAGGTAATTAAAGCTCCTAAGAGATCCTGAGTAATTGTGACCTTTAGCTCTTTGGTATTAATCCTCACCCAAAACATATTTGTGTGTTTTTTCAGGTTTCTGTTGAACAACTGATGTTTGAAGAGAAGAACAAAGCTCAGAGGTTACAAACAGAATTAGATGTCAGTGAACAAGTCCAGAGAGATTTTGTAAAGCTTTCTCAGACCCTACAGGTGAGGCATTTGGGGAACCACTGTTGCACTCTGAGGGAAACCTCACCATTCCTCATTTGACTAAAGTAGCTGGAGGTGTAAGTTACTGTAGCTGCTCTTACATCTACCCGGAGAATCTGCCAATCATTTAGGTTAGAACCCTGGTATGCTCTCCAGATTTGGCTCCCTTTCTCTTTTCCTTTATACCTGGACAATTTTGCCTCCTTAAAGGTATAAACTTACATTTACTGTTACAATGTTAAGTACTTGTGGTTCCCTGTGCACAGCATGGTGTTCCCTCTGGTAAGCATCCTTGTTTCCTCCCCTTGACTTTTGTCCTTCAAGGCCCAGCTTAGGTTTGTTCCCTGCATGGAATCCCTTTCTAGGTCCCTGAGCTGGCCTAAAGTGCCTCTTCCCTGTACCTCACTCCCTTGGCACTCTGTGAATGCCCACAGTGAAATTGAGGAGATTGTGCTAAAACTTCCATTGGCTTGTTTTTCCCCCAAATGAACTGTGGCTTGTTCAGGGATAGGAGTAAGGTCTCATTTGTCTCCATGATCCCAGCACCTATGCCTCACAATGTCTGAAGTGGCAGCTTTCGGGAATTGTTTTTTAATTTAATCCTTGCTGACTTTTCTTTGAAGTGACTGCTCTGCTGAGTTATCTGCTGCATCTCAGCTAACCCAATCAAAGTAGAGGACATCTAGGCAGGAACCACCTGCACTTATCTCACCATTGTTTCTCCAGGTGCAGTTAGAGCGAATTCGGCAAGCAGACTCCTTGGAGAGAATCCGGGCAATTCTGAATGATACCAAACTGACAGACATTAACCAGCTACCCGAGACATGACACTCTTGATAGCTGGATTCTAGCCTGCACTTTGGGTTTTTAACTCATCTTTAGAGCAACATTAATTATTATTTAACTCTTAACTGAAGAAGCAGAAGTCACAACAGAAGGAAGACTGGAGAAATGTTTATTTCTAGTGGGAGAAGACTCCAGTACAGGAACAGCCAGTAGCCAGAATGATTTGCAGCCAATAGACCTTTCAAACAGGAACACTAATGAGACTCCAAGACTTAATTACAACAGGTATGGGATCAGATTTGGTGATGGAAAAAAAAAGCTGTCTCCTTTGCTTGCTTTCTCCAACATAGATTTTTGGAACACATTTCCCTACCCTGGAGCAACTTCCCAATAGTGTTTGGAATTACATTTCTTGTTTATAGATATTGGGAGAGAGGTGTTTCTGTTGTCTAGAGCTCATCAGTAACAGTGTCCGGCTAGCAGACATGTGTAGTATGCTGTATGACTATTTTATATTAAAATATGGAGTGTGAGAGCAGGCCATTGGCTAAGACTGTATTTCCTTCGCTTGGTGCGTTTTCCTTCTTTCCACCATTGAATCTTCAAATACTGGAGGACCTTAAATGCTACTAAAGTTTTGCTAAGAACCATGAGACTGTGGCAATCAAAATCAACTCAAGAACAGAATTAGGACTTGAAAACTTGGCTGAGGCTAGGTATTATTGGAAGTGGAATTTAAAGGAAAAGCACAAGAAACTGTTTGGAAGCACTTTTCTTTCTGCATACCTGGATGATCGTCATGGGCCCACAGGTACCAGGATAAAGTGGAACTGGCACTGGCACCATCTACTCTTTTGAGGTGTTTTAATTTAGTTATTGAATCAGTGAAAAAATTAATAAAACAAGCTGTGTCTGACAACACCTAGTATACACTTATAAATCTTATTTTCAATTTGAATGAATCAGTGGGCTTGTGCACTGTTTGTTTCAAGTATCAGCTACAGAAATAGTGTTAACAGGGTTTGACAGATACTTTGTTTTTCTTTTACAATTTAGACCTGGAGTGTAAGTAACAATGTGTACAAAAAAGTTGGGGAAAAGCCATTTATTGTATTGATCAGTTTCGAAATTTGCTTTGTCATTTTCCAAGATGTGAGATTCCTTTCTGAATGCAGAAAGCCTCAGTGGAACAGGTCATCTTTGTCATAGCTTTATGAGGTATCATAGGAAGCACAGAGAATGGATTCGTGTTCGTGGTCTGCAGTATTATCCCAAGAGTAGCCAGGGGAAGGCTATACTGTTGAATCCATTACACAGATGATCCAAAAGCAAAAAATGTTTTCAACATTTTGGTGATTGCATAACATAACATTTTGGTAATTGCTGTTGCATAACAGCAGGGTATCTGAAGGAAGCTTACGGGAATTAGTGAACTAAGTAGATTCTTTTTGTTCACTTGAAGCCACTATTAGCTTAGTTTAAGTGAAATGTCTTTGTTATAAACTAAGTAATTGTGAAGTTGCCCTAAAAATATTCACTACTTTTTTCACAGGAGAAATATGGACTGCATCACCTTATCCCATATTTAAAATCCCTTTGTATAAAGGGCTACTAGGTTTAAAGGAAACATATCCTCATTGAGTTAGAGGGAAATTTATTAATTAAAAATGTGATTATTCAAATTAAAGACTAGTCCCTTAAGGTAGGCCCCAAGCCAGTCTGTTTCACATTATTAAAATCAGCACTATAAATCATGAGTAGTTTATAATTTTTCTGTACTGTGACTCCCAGTGACCTGTTCTGCTAAGACTGAATACCTTACAGATACTTTTCTCCAGATGGGAACTAGGGCAATAAATATATCATGATTAGGGAACTGTTTACGAACTGTACTGTGGCAGATGCCAACTGCTAGATTCCACTCAGTTGAGAAAAGTACCTTAGAAAAACCCAAATTGAGACTCTAGATTTTATTTAACAGTGTTTCTGGTATGCAACTACTGTGATACGATCCAGGTAGGACACAGTTCTATAAGCTGGGTTTTTTGCATAAATGGGATCTAATTTAGCAGTGGGATTTATCCCTTCTAGACAAAAGATAGTTGGGTTTCACAAATGTTCCCGTGCTTCAGTCTGTATATACTTGTTCTCTTAAATGTCTAATCGGATTTACCTCTTACCTATAATGTACCTTACCTGTGGCTTTTAATTGGCAGTCATTCAGCTACTTCTAGGCAGTATGGTATTACCTTTCAGAACCTGAAGCTGAGGACAAAACCATATACTGCATACCAAGCTGTTTCTTTCTCCCTTGAAGGTGCTAAAACTTGCACTTCATACCCACTCAGTAGACAAAGAGCATGGTCACACTCAGCTGTGAAAGGTAGTGCCTATGAGGACATGAGCCAGCAGTAGCCTTTGCCTTTGTTGTTCTTGAGCTCCAATTTGAGCAGATCATAGGTATAACTATTTGTTAACTATACGGATGGGATATCTTTAAGAAAATGTTCAAATTAAAAAAGCTGCTGCTGAGTAGACTGTGTGGCCTTTTCCTTTGAATCCTAGGGTTCTGACCCCCTTTGCAGTCACATTTCTGACACTGCTTCTCTAAAACATAGCTCTTACTGCTCAAATATGGAGAAAACACAGTAGGGTCTCGGAGATCTGGGAGTATGCAGCTAAACCCTTGTGTCTTAGGATTTTTTTTTTAAATCCTGGGCCCTTGCTGACTACATGTAGATTTTCATTATAAAACACATTCTAATTTTTAAATAAAAGCATTTATTCAGTAATTATAAAATATATTAAAAATGAACAACACACCAAAGTTCATCCAAAATGCCTCTTTATAAATTAGACAGTGCTACCTGTTTGTTTTACACTATGGGTTTAAATCTTTAGTTGTTTCAACTTCAGGTGAGTCTGTTCCTGGTGGTATCAGAAGTTTACATGATTTCGTATATCATTGATTTGCTTCACCATTTCCCTTATGTGTTCACCTCTGTAAAATCAAAGTCACTCACTTTTAGAAATGAATAAGCCATTGATAGGAAGTCTTACGAATTTAAACTGGTAATGTTGAAATATCTAAGAACAGCTTTACTAAAATTACAGTGGTTCTTTGGTTCACGATTCTGGTTGCAGTTGTATAGTATGTATATGCTTACAATTTTGTTGCAACCAGAACTGTTGAACGAATTAAGTTTTTGAATTGAAGTGCCACTGTAACAGCTTAATGTTTCTGATGGGTAGCAATAGTTCAGTATTCAGTTAACAGTAGCTCAGCTATTATACTTTTCTTTTTGTGTGTGGCAGGAATTGAACTCAGGCCCTTATATATGGTAGGTAAGTGTTCTATCACTGCTGCATTCCTAGCTCCAAGAAATATTTTTGAACATATTCATTGGGAAATACTTTTGACCAAAAGTCCTATGTGTCCCTCAAATGCCAAAACCAAGGTTTATCTGGTCAGAGAGAGGTTGATTTTGGCATACTGCAAAAGAACAACTTATCTTGCAACAGTAGCGTGACTGGAACCATGTACTTACTCCTCCTTGAGGACAGACTGGATGCACTTTCTCTGGTAGGCACTCAGAGTAATGGTGGGTTTTTGAGGACTCAGAACCTTTTCCATCTTTTGCTGCTGATAGTCTTTTTTCATAGTAACCTTAAGTATCAGAGAGAACATAGATATTTTAGCGATGGTTTGCCACACATTTTGATAGTAGTTTTAGTCTTTAAAATTATCTTCCAAGATTATTTTCTACAGAACAAATGTTTCATTTTTAAGAAGGACAGATTTGCTGAGCATGGTGGCACATGCTTTTAATCTCAGCACTTGGAGGCTGAGGCAGGAGGATCACCGCAAGTTAGAGGCTAGCCTGGGCTATGTAGTGAGCTTAAGGCCAGCCTGAACTACATAGAGAGACCCTGTCTCAAAAACAAAAGATAACAAAGACAGATTTTTATATTCATTCTTACCTGTTTGATAGCATTGCCCAAATGTCGAAGTTGATCAGGGATCAGCTGTAATTCTTTCTTCATGTCTCTCTCACTATCAGAGAGAACTGGGAGCTGAGAGTGAAAACTGTGAAGTACTTTTTTCATCCTTTAGAAAAGGTAAGCAGACATCTCAGCTTAAGATCTTTAATTAGGACAAATCATAAAGGTTTTAATTCATGATTTTCGTGTCTGGGAAGGAGGTATGCATAGGCTGGGTTAGGGATCACCATTCTATCTTCCCTGACACATATTTCAGAGGAGAGGTTGGGAGGGCCATTCAGTTCTCTAGTTAGATCAGCCATGCTAAGGTCCATTTTCTTAATAACCCTGTTAGTACCCAAATACTTATAACATTGTTATTACCTTAGGGAACCCAAGGTTATTTGGCCCACTGACCTGTTCATGATATCTTCTTGTTTTTCCTTGGCTTCCTCATATTTGTCAGCTAAGCGCTCAGCCATTTCCCGTAGACTTTTTCTGATGGCATAAGAAAGAAGAGACTCTTGGGATCCACCTTAATGTTAAAGCCAAATGATATAGTGCAACATCTTAGGGTGAGATGCATTCCCACTCTTACCTGTTTTGCCCCAATTTTGATACTTACCTCTCTTCTCGACAATAATTGAGATCATCTAGTTGTTTCTTTTTTTGGTCACATAATAATTTGACCCTTCAAGGAGAAAAAAAGTTTATTTAGAAGCCAGGTATAGACTATTACGCTGCACAAGCTAGCAGCCAGGGTCCAACAGTTTATGAACAGAGGACATCGTACCTCCGCTGAATCTCCTCCTTTGCCAGGTCCTGCTTAAGAATGTACTGTTCTCTGAACACCTGGGTGGCTCTGCTGATGAGCTGGAGACACTCTTCAGGAGGAGGGGCCAAATCCTTTTCAGATGACCTTAAAAACAAAGTTTCTATCATTTTCCAAGCAAAATAAAACAGACTCAAATCATAGTTGCTTTTCCCTCTTCTTGTTAGCACTTTATCATTCTCAGGTGCCAGTTTTCTCTATTCACTGATTTATTAGATATCCCCTCTGTCTCTTCAAACTCTACCACAGTAAAAAGTGTATGAAACAGCTGAGGACATAAATGATGAACAGTAATTTGAGAAGAGAAGATAACCCATTCTTAAAACCTATATGCCCAAGATCCCATACTTCAGAAATGCTGGATTGGCAGCACTACGTTGCAAAATGCTCCTAATATGCTTTTCAAAGGAATCGGGGGTTTCAGCCAGAATACGGAGAGGAGACTCTGCAACTTCATCATCATCTTGGGTGCAAAGCAAAGGAGGAGATGCTGGATGGACTGTACTTCTGTAAAATAAATAAAAGTATATCAAGAAGTTACTACTGTATTATAGGGAAGCAGAAACCACATTTATCCAGAACTCTGGAGAAGACCTATGAAACTAAAAGGTACTTTTACCCTTCACTTTTGTAAAAGTCTAAGAATCCATGTTTTCTGCTGCAAAAAGGTCACCTTACCTTATTATTATCCTTGGTCTACCAGTGATGCCATTTGTCAAAGCATTTTAGAATGTACCACTCCAAATTCTTTTTCAAATGACCACAAAAGTACAAAAACAGAAGTCCATCATGGACCCTTTTAGCAAAGGGTTTTATATTTATAAATAAAACTGTAAACTTTGGCAGTATGGTAAAGCAACTTATTTTGAAGTCAACAAATCAAAGTTGGAAAAATGTTGGAATAGTAACACAGACAACTTGTATTTTAGGGAACTGGCAAAAATCTATTATTTGAAGGTATCCAGATGATGAGATTTTTCCCTTTAGGATTTATATCTTTTGTACCTAACTAGTGTGACTAGGTCTTAATTAACTAAGGCTAGTATAGATTTTTTTTTTTTTAAGTATGGCATTTTGAATACTATGCTAAGGCAACTGGCAAATACTTTCCTGTGATTTTATTAGAGTGGTTCCTGTTTCGTTTAGCCTTGCTAGTTTTTATGTGTCTTTCAGAATAAGAAACACAAAATTTATATTTGAATTGTTTCTTTTCCACATATTGTAACTGATCAATATTTATAAAGAGCAGAGGACCTTCTAAGGACAGTGAAGTAATGCTGTATTTTGCGTAAGTCAGTATATAGAAATACAGGCTTTGAACTCATTTGGGTCTAGCGTTTGATACTCTGATGATTTTTGGTCTTTGTACTTCTACGCCTACATTCATAAAACTCAAAATGACCTTCCAGGGGTGCTTAGAAAGGAAAACACTAAGGGGAATGAGGAGCATGAGTAGCTTTATACTGACTTTTTTCAAGAATTTATAATCCTCTCTGAGGTCCCCGTGAGGCTGTCGAAAAGGAAAAGTGTGAATATGGACTCTGGACAATCAATCAGATCTACAGCTGCATTCTACCTGTTAACTATAACTTCAGCACATGCTAAACTCTCAAGCCTCACTTTCTTTCCGCTAGGATGGGGTAACAGTGCTCTTAAGGGCTGTCCTAGTGATTCTAGGAGCAATGCAGGAAAATGGCTGGCTTCTCAGCCTGATCAGAGCTTGATAATCATTAAACCTACTTCATAGAATGATGCATTTAATCCCCCCCCGCCCCGCCATGATGCTTTAAAGAAAATCACTTGATTTTCAGATATGTGACAGAGGTTTCAGATAGTAAGTCTAAAATAAAACTTAGAAATAGCAGGGAAAACAAATATTCACCCTTCTAGTTCTCATGTCAGAAGCTAAAGCATAAACTCTATAGGGATAGTTTCAAACAAGTTACTGAAGGCATTTTCCCACTTTAGATTTTGCAATATTAAAGAGATATGTAGAAAAATACAAAACAGGACATACAGTAAAGGCCTTATAAGGCATTCATAGGCACTGGTAATGCAGATCATCGTGGGCCCAAGAATATCAGGAACTATCCAGAATCCTTGAATGGGAGCTGGCTGCCTGGAGAAACATAGGTAAGTTACAAAGCAGCAAATATAATCATACGAAAAGCAAAAACTTGACTGAGCTCTGTGGCCTGTTCAGGCCTGGGCTGGCGGTCACTTGGGACATGATGTCTTATCAGTGCAGTAACTTCAAAAGTGGTGAAAACCTGTAACACCTCTCTGATCATCCATATGGACCAAGCTACCACACTGCTGTCTAGAAGCCATTTACCAAATTTCTCAAGAAACCACGGCCTCTTGGGATGCATTGTCATTTGAGCAGTTTACATGTTACACTGAAGTCCCCATTTGTGTCCTCCCTAGCCCAGATGTAAACCAGGTTACAGTATCTTTGTGTGCTTAGTTTGGTACCTGAAAAATTCAGTACTTGAAACTTTTATTTCAGACTGCACATTCAATGAAGCCAAACAGCTGTCACAGGACTTCATTTGGTGTGTATAACATACATCTACCTCTCATTTTCTTCCTACTTGACTAAAGAAACTGGAAGCTGGGTATGGTATTACCTGTCTGTAATCCAAGCATTCTAGGAGGCTGAGGCAGGAAGATTGCAAGAGCCCAGACTAGGGAACTTAGCAAGATCATATGTCAATATAAA